TGTTCAGGTCCCTCCTGACCCTAGCTACTATGAAGCTATGCTACATTTGCTCCATTACATGGTAAATCATCTCTCAGGCTGCATCCAGATGAGTGGGAATGTGCGTTTCCCCAGGGACAAGCAGCAGTGGCACATCTTGTGCCGCTGCTACTTGTTCCCAGGGAATGCCTGTGGTGGGGCATGCCCAGGTGGAGTAGGGAAGGCTACGGCCAGCAACTATGCTGGCCCCAGCAACCTTACCTGGAGTCCTGGGGGTCTTGGGGAACTGCCGCTGCCATGCTCCTGCAGCAGGGAGCCTGGCCAGCAGCTGGAGAGTGGCTAGGCTCCAGTTTTGGGTGGCATGCACTGCTGCCAATCTATGCTGCCTTGTTTTTTTTCACGTAGGTTTTTTTGACCCCAGGATTTCCCAGGGTCAAGAAACACCGCTGCGCTGCAAAGTAGCAGCATGGGGAACAACTGCATGTGCAGTGTGTGGTGGTGCAGATGGATCTGCGGTGCCACATACCACGCATCTGTGCTCATCTGGATGCAGCCTCAGACGCTAGTCGTGCACAAAGGACTGAATGAGGGATAACAAACCTTTAAGGTTTCAGTAAGGTTCTTTTGAGCTGTCTGAAATCCTCCCACAACTCTTCCTTCCCTTCTCTTGTCCCCCCACCAGAGCCTGTCAAAATCCACACAGTTCTCCATTTGTTCTCTGGTCCATGTTTGTATTTAATTCAGCTTCATGTACAGACACATGCACACAAATAAAAACATAGAAAAATTTTTATCAGCTTGCTGAAACAGACAGCAAGAGATGCAGACAGAAAACACTGACGGAGCCAAAAAACACATCTCTTTTGAAAAAAAAAAAAAACTTTTTATGCTTGTTTTAGAAGCCTTGTATACCTCCTTCAAGCCAGCTGGTTAATGTTGGCACCTAGGCAAATATTTGTGTAAAGATATCTTGGAAAGTTTTGTTTCCATCTGGAATGTAAGTTAAGTTTGCTAGCCAGTGTTACTAAATTTGGCTCGTTAGTTTAATGTTCCCTGATGCAAGTCCTCCATCCCTCTCCAGACATACCTGGATTAGATGTATGGGCTTCCACAAATCAAAATGTCATTAATATGCAAAATAATCCTAATAATAACCCTATTAATAATAATGGGATGTTGCTGGGGAATTCAGGTGTACAATTTAGTGGCAAACAAAACTTCCCATTGACAACATTTATATTAGGTTATACAAAACTGTATGGTTAAATTATTTTCCCCAGATGCAAACACCTTCTTGCAGAGTTTCCAACAAAACACTGCAGTACTGTACCAGTTCAGGAGGAATAGGTAAAAAAAAATGCTACCTTATTATAGATTTCATAGACATTATGGCTGGAAGGGACCTCGCGAGACCATTGGGTCCAGCCCTGATTATACATCTCTGATTTAGTTAGTCTGTAATGTGGAACTCTAACCTGCCTTCTGCCTAGCTTATCTAAAGCAACCAACTTGTTAAAAGGTAAAAAAAAAAAAAAGTATAAAGATAGATTCATAGAGGTTTCAGTTCTAATAACCTTGGATGTTAATTAGTGGTATACGTAAAAAAAATAATTTTAACCAAACCTTGCAAGAGCCCAAGAAATTGTTATTCTGGGAGCCTGAAACTAATCCTTCCCATGCAACCGAAGGGAAAAAAACTTCTCTCATTCCATGGGCAAATTAGGAATAGTATTCTTGACATCAACATATACACCCAAAATCTGGTAAAACTCACATTTGACATCTTCTCTTCATTCCACAAACTCTCCAGGTTTACGTGGTGTTTAAAGGTGCGCTACAGTGAAGGAGACTGCTCTGTCTATCACTGCTGCTGAGAAGGTACATGTCTGCACATGCCACAGGTAGGAGTTTCCCTACTGATTACACAAGATTACAAGCAAAAGACTGTTGTGTGAAGGAAACTCAAAAACCTGAGATTTTACTAAATATTACAAGTTTTTACCCCTTGGCAATATAAAAAAGACAACAAAACACCAAAGCAAGCTTTCCTTAAAAACAAAATAACCATAAAAACCCCTTTATTTTGTGTAGTTGGACGGATGCTAAATAATTAACCTTATTTTAAGCACGGGCGCATCTAGAAGCAAGCTTGTCCACTGTGTTAAGAATAGCCTTTTACAGAATTATCTGAATCTGATCAGTGGTCTTCAATGCAGTAAGTGCCTATAGACAGCAAAGAAGTGCGGTGTTGTATTCAACTACAAAAGGGTTAAAACTAGGGTCAATATTTAGATTTCTAAAGCACCTGACCTTTTCAATGAGATGGAGATACTTTAAAGCAGTGGTCTCCAAAGTGGGGCATGCATTGGGGTGCGGGAAGAAAATATTAGAACTTCTATTTATATTTATTTTTTACCTAAAAAAAATAAGAAAGAAATTAAGCTTTACTAATATTTAATATACTGATTGACACTGGCGCCCTCACTCGGTCC